CACACACACACACACACACACACACACACACACACACACACAGTGTGTGTGTGTGTCTCTGTCTCTCTCTGCCATGCTGTCTCCCCTCCCTCCATTTGTGCTGCCTTGTAGAGTACGAGGCTACATTAACAACAATGTGTTAACCCTTGAGGGCTCAGCCGAGTGCTAGTTCATCATTTATTAGTAAGGCATTCCCTGGGAAATATCCCACTCTCTGACTCCACAACCTCAACCAAGCTACACAATCATCATTGCTGTGTACAGTATTACATTGTTTGTTTAAAACTGATACTGTGTGTGTGTATGTGTATGTATGTATGTATATATAAATTAAAAAAAAGTCTCTTGTCTGGCAAAAAAAATTTCACTTGAACGTAATCTCCCCCCCCCCCCCTTTACATTAATTCTTATGAGGAAATTGGATTCGCTTAATATCATTTTGCTTAAAGTAGCATTTTTCAGGAATATAACTACATTGTTAAGCGAGGAGTGACTGTATAAAAATAATGTAAACCTGGCATTTTGTCCTTAACGCTTCAGTTTACAGTAAGGTATTAAAAGAAATGGCCTTTGTAAAATATCTATTCAGAGATAAATGCATAATGTGCCATAAACACGATCATGCATTTAAGGACTATATTTTACCTTCAGTTATGATTTGCGATATGCTTGTGTATGTTAATATGAAAACTTCAGTTTTTTAAAGAGATTTGTACACATTTTATCCCATTTAGCATTTGGAAGGATGGAAAGAAGCTGATTTCTCAGCAGAACAAGTCTTTGAAATAGATCTGAAAGTACATTCTACTTCTCTGACTACTTCTCCGTCTACTTCATGACAACTAGCTTGATATAGAGCAGTGATACTCAGACTGAGGCTTGCAAGCTGCAGTTGGCTTTTTAATGCATCTCCTGCGGCTCTTTGCAGCGCATGACATGTGTGATTTAATTATTAACCAGTCAGGATACATTTACTGTGTTGTTAACCTACTGTAGTTGATAAAATAATACTTGGTCAGTCATTTTGCTGTGAGAATAATTTATATATATAAAAACAAAATATTTCCCCTGTGGTACTGTTACAGTACTATAGTAAATGAAAAAATGAGTTCATGCTACTGTAGCTCTTTTAGGTAATGTTGATTGCTAAGTTGGCTCCTGAACCACTGTGGTGAGGTCTGAATATCACTGACAGAGGCATACTTTGTAATACTGGCAGTGTGAGATCTTCATTTTAGAAGTTATAAACCAGTTTTCAGCTTGCTTAAATACAGATTCTTCTTTGTGTAGTTTCTGTATGGATATTCCACTTCAGGTGTGCATGCACCCCATGCTTCTTTGATCAGTCTTTTGATAGCCGCGTGTGTTCAGTCTGCACATATGTCCTAGCTATCCTCGTGCTCCATACTAGTGGTATCTAGGGCAGTGTCGAATGTGAGGGAGATTCCCACGCCTGAGCCATTCTTTTTAGGTGACACATCTGAAGAACCATCCCAGATTAAAGTGTCATGAGAGGAGTTTTTTTTAACAAATTAATAAACTAAACAGTAATAAGTCACAAGGACCAGATGGTATTCACCCGAGAGTTCTGAAGGAACTCAAATATGAAATTGCAGAACTATTAACTGTGTATGTAACCTATTGCTTGAATCAGCTTCTGTACTAGATGATTGGAGGGTAGCTAATGTGATGCCAATTTTAAAAAAAGCCTCCAGAGGTGATTCTGGCAATTACGGGCCGGTAAGCCTAACTTTAGTATGAGGCAGATTGATTGAAACTATAGTAAAGAACAGAATTAGCAGACGGATGAGCACCATTTTTTCGGTAAGAGTCAGCATGATTTTTGTAAAGGGAAATCATGCCTCACCAATCTACTAGAGTTCTTTGAGGGGGATCAGTAAATGTGTAGACAAGGGTGATCCAGTGAATATAGTGTACTTGGACTTTTAGAAAGCCTTTGACAATGTTCCTCACCAAAGGCTCTTAAACGAACTAATCAGTCATGGAATAAGAAGTCAGGTCCTCTCATAGATCAGTAACTGGTTAATAGGTAGGAAACAAAGGATAAGAATAAATGGTCAGTTTTCAGAATAGAGAGAGGTAAATAATGGTGTCCCCCAAGGGTCTGTACTGGGACAAATGCGGTTCAACATATTCATAAATGATCTGGAAAAAGGGGTAAACAATGAGGTGGCAAAGTTTGCAGACAATACAAAATTACTTAAGATAGTTAAGTCCAAAGCAGATTGCAAAAAGTGACAAGGGGATCTCTCAAAACTGGGTGACTGGGCAGCAAAGTGGCAGATGAAATAATGCTCACTGGAAAACATAATCCCAGCAGAATAATGGGGGTCTAAATTAGCTGTTACCACTCAAGAAAGAGATCTTGGAGTCACTGTGGATAGTTCTCTGAAAACATCTGCTCAAAGTGCAGCGGCAGTCAAAAAAGCTTAACAATGTTAGGAACCATTAGAATAGGGATAGATAATAAAAGAGTAAACATTATAATGTTGCTGCATAAATTCATGATCCACGCACACCTTGAATACTACATGAAGTCCTGGTCAAGCCATCTTAAGAAAGATATATTAGAAATGGAAAAGGTACAGAAAAGGGCAACAAAAATGATTAGGCATATGTAACAGCTTCCATATGAAGAGAGATTAAAAAGACTGGGACTATTCAGCTTGGAAAAAAGAGGACTAAGAGGAGATATGATAGAGGTCTATAAAATCATGAATGGTGTGGAGAAAGTGAATAAGGAAGTGTTATTTACCCCTTCACATACACATGAACAATGGGTCACCCAAAGAAATTAATAGACAGCAGGTTTAAAGGAAACAAAAGGAAATATTTCACACAGTTCACAGTTAAGCTGTGGAACTCATTGTCAGGGGATGTTGTGAAGGCCAGAAGTATAACTGGCTTAAAAAAAGAATTAGATAAGGTAATGGAGGATAGCTCCATCAATGGCTAATAGCCAAGGTGGTCAGGGATGCAACCCCATGCTCAGAGTGTTCCTAGCCTCTGACTGGTAGAAGCTGGGAGTGGACGACGGGTTGGATCACTCGATGATTGTGTGTTCTGTTCATTCCCTCTGAAGCACCTGCCACTGACCACTGTGGGAAGACAGGGTACTGAGCTAGATGGACCATTGGTCTGAACCAGTATGGCTGCCATTAGGTTATTTTCCCTAAGTTTTTTTTTCTCAGATGCCTCAGCCTGAAATGGATCAACTTGTGCTCACTTGTTTAGCTAGGTTTGCCTTTAGGGAATAGTTTTTACTTTTAGTTTTTGTTAGTTTCCTTAGTTTTGGGAGACTGGGCTGGTTTGTTTCCCTGCCGTGTCCGCAGGTTCGGCCAATCGCGGCTCCCACTGGCCGTGGTTCACCGTCCCAGGACAATGGGGGCTGCGGGAAGTGTCGTGGGCCGAGGGATATGCTGAAACGAGTCCCTTAAACTGAGTCTTACCAGAGTTGATCTGCAGCTGGGTGTGGCCCTTCCGCTGTGTGTGTGTGTTAGAGGAGGTTTTAAGAGCCTGGCTCAGCAAGACAGGTTAAAGAGGGTCCATGCTGGCAGAACAGGTTACACTCAGTAGTATCTCAGCATAGCAGGTGGCTTCCCAAGGGGTCCAACCTGTCACAGTATGCACTGGAGTTCCATTCGCTTCTCCATCTCCAACTATAGTGACTGGTATGTCTCATATAGGGTGGAGAGCTTGTCTTCAAAGTCATACCATTCATGGAAAATGTGCAGCTCAAGAATGCATTCTCCACATCAGCCTGCTGGAGCTCAGAGTGGTCAGATCTGACTGCAGACATTTTCTACCTATGATTGTGATAAATGAGGATAAAGACAGCATGGCCGGCATGTACAATATAAATCACCAGGGAGGAGCAAGATCCTCCTCCTTTTGTACAGAAACAGTAAATCTGTGGAACTAGTGCATAGCCCATCAAATCTTCAGTTCTGTCACATACTTACCAGGCTTCCAGAACATCATTGTCAACAACTTGAGCAGACACTTCTGCCATGATAACAAATGGGACCTTAACCCCTTGATGTTTCTTACCTGGGGTTCTCCAGAATTAGATCTCTTCGCCAGAGCTCTGAACAGAAAATGCTGAATGCTTTGCTCAGGAGGGTGTGTTAGTTGTCATTCCCTGGGAGGTGCCTTTCTCATTTTGTGGTCCAGAAACCTCCTATCTGCCTATTCTCTGATGCCATTGCTCCTCAGAATCCTAAACAAGATCAAGCAGGACAGAACCAGAGTCATCCTAATTGCACCAGTTTAGCCTAGTCAGATATGGTTCCCATACCTGATTTGCCCCTCCTCTTGCCCTGCACTTTGATTACCAATAATACCTGACCTACTAATCCAGGACTCGGTGGAAGGTCTTCACCCCAACTTGACAGCTCTGCGTCTCAAGGCTTGGCATATAGATGGATCTTATGGGTAGCGATCTCCTGTTCAAAAGAATTGCAAGAAGTTTTGCTCAATAGTAGACATGAGTCAACTAGAAAAACATACCTGCAGAAGAGGAAGAGGTTCCAAAGGTACCTGTCTCTTGTTGAAATATTATCTGAAATATTATCCAATAAATATTATTGGATTACCTTTTAGGTATGAAGAACTGGGGCCCCCTCTTGGAGTTCCATAAATTTCATCTAGTGGCTATTGCAATTTTTCCATTCCTCAGTCAAGGGTTTTTTAGTCTTTACTCACTTCATTACTTCATGATTCATCAAAGGATTATCAGATCTTATTCCTCATGTCAAACAACATACACCGGAGTGAGACTTGTACCTGGTTCTCAGTTCTCTAATGAGGCTTCCCCTTGAACCACTGGCTAAATGTTCCCTTCCACACTTGTTTGTGAAGACTGCAATCTTAGTGGCTATTACCTCCACTAGGAGAACTGGTGAGTTAGCGGGCTTTGATAGCTGATTCTTTGTACACCACATTTATTAAAGAAAAGGTATCTCTCTGGTCACACGTGCACTTTTGCCCCAGGTAACCTCAGACTTCCACATCAACTAGGACATTCAGCTTCCTGATATTCTATGATATCTCACTCCACTTGATCAGTCTATTTCCATAACCCCATTAAAGAATGTTCCCATTGGAGAAATAAGCAAAGCTGCCACGTGGGCTTTGGTTCACACCTTTTTCTAAACATTACGTTCTATACCTGCCTCTAGAGCAAGATTCCACCTTGTCATTGTTAGTCTCCAGTCAGCCTTCGATCTGGCTTCCAAAACATCCACCTCCTTTACAGGGTACTGCTCAGGAGTCACCTGAAGTGGAGCACCGATATAGGGACATGACTTGAAGGAGGAGGAGGACTTCCTTACCCTTTACAGTAACTGGACTTCTTTGAGATATTTGTCCCTGTGGGTGCCCACTAGGTGCCATCCTTCCCTTCTGCTTTGGAGTCTTCCTTTGTGAGACTCGGAGTTAGAGAAGGAACTGAATTTGGTTGTCTGATGCTGCCCTTACATACCCTTATCATGGGGCATGAAGATAACTAGGGCGTTTGTGTGGACTGAACTGGCATTGCTACCAGAAGTCTCTGATCAAAGGTGTATGGGGCACGTGCACAACTGAAGTAGAGCACCCATAGGGACAAATGTCTCAAAGAACTTCAGTTACCGTAGAGTAAGTAACTCCTCCTTTAATACAGTGTCATTGGTAGGCTATTTTGTACCAACGTGGCTGCCTCCAGAAATGTCTTTAGAAATTCAAGATGTGATTAAGCACTTTCAAATGTACTTCAATTTAAGCATCACTTGCCAATATTATTCCTTGGGTTTGAATGTTAAGACTGCTAGGTTGAAGAGAGTTAGTGGACTTTTTAAATACATTATCTCCGTATAATTTTTAGTTGTTTCAAAAGATACTTCTCTGCATTTGCTTCTATTGGATCCTTTGAATTAATGAGTTCTACCAAATGCTACTCTTACAAGCATATGGGTAAATCTCCCAGTGTAACTATAATGTTGTTGTTGTCATACCCAATATTCTCTCTAGAAAGCACTATGTCTGGTATTGATAGCTATACCAGATAAGCATTTCTGATATTTTTAGTGTCTTCCTGGAAAATACTATATTTTGGGGACAATAATCTCTAATGAACAGTTGTGAGGAACAGTGTTGTTCATTCAGTTGCTATGCCAAGGAACAGTACTGCTCTACATGTAGGTGCTTCGATGCCCCCATGTTCAGAGATGCACTAGTTTTTATGCTGTCACCATATCTCCGATCTTAACAGAGAACTTGATAAAGTATTGGTACTGGTGAGAATATGTTATGTGAATGTATTGAAAACCGTGTAGGAATTATTTTTGACATTTCCAGATAGTCCCTTCATCTACGTAAATATTCTCTAAAGTGCCACACTTCTTGGTAATTTTTAGTTAGATTTCTGCAAATTGTTTTTGGTTGGTTGGCCTGGGAATCTTTTTTTTTAACTTTTTTTTTTTTAATGCAGGAGGAATTTGAAGCTGAAAGGAAGACTGCCTGGCGCAGCAAGGAGCAGGTGTTGATACAAGAGACAGAAAAGGCACAAGCACATTACGAAAAGGAGAAAGAGGAGTTATCAGTACAGATACAGGAAAAGACAAATATAATCATTCAGGTATGTGAAAATACTGAGGCTTAGATTTTAATTGCACTTTCCTTGTGTCCTGTTTGAACATAGCTTTCCTCTCCTCCCCCTTTCCCCATTAAGATGTATTTGTACAGAGGATACCACTTTGGTGCAGTCATTGGTTTATATTAACTAGTTTTTGAGGCATTGTTGGCTTCTTCTGTTAGCTAGTGTGTTATGAGGATAGCATTGTACCTCAGTGGGTGGAGAAAAAGTTGTGATGCAGCATGGTTGTGGCTACTACAGGAGGGAACCTATCCAGTTACTTTCAGTGATTATTCCATTCTCCTGAGATATAATATTTTAATTTTCTGGTATTGAGAAAAATGTACTCGATATGTCACAAAAACAAACAATGACATGATCCCTGTGTTGAAGTTAGGGTATGAGACAAGGGAGAGGAACGGATGGACAAAGGTGACAATAATTACTCTTAAGGCATGTGCATATATTGATGATTCTGTGTGTTTGATTGCTTACCTGTCCTGCCCTTTGTTTCTTGCAGGTGAGATGGGTAAGGTTTAGGAGGGGTTTGGCTGTGTCAAGGAAGATGGTTTGGCACAGAAATTTGAGGCATCATGGGCAGCATGAAAGAAGGTGCAGACACACCTGTGAGGGACAATGAAGGGGGTATCAAGGCTGATGTTTTGATATCTAAAAACACTACCTCTACTATAAACCGCCTCTCTATAGTCCTTTCTTGGTTACAGAAACTGAACAATGATTCTCCTACATAGTAACTTTTTTGTAATGCACAAGTATTAATGTTAGTAGTATTAGATAAAAAATAAGCTACATTTGTGACTTTCTTGAAACAAAATTGAAAATTATTTCTTGAAAATTTTATGCAATTACAAGGTGCCTTGTTTTACATCAAAACAGTTTAACTAATTTTAATACTGTAAATCATACTAGGCCCCTCCATCCCCATATTGTAATAATTGGTTTCAATCTTTTGTTAAAGTTTAAGACAGATTCATTCTCCATAAATTGGAAAACTATCAAAATTGTCCATGCGTAAATTTAGTCTGGAAATTAGACATTTTCTAACCATCAAAAGAGTGAGGTTGTGGAACAGCCTCCCAAGAAGAGTAGTAGAGGCAAGAATCCTAATTGGGTTTTAGGGTGGAACTTGATAAATGTCTGAAAGGGATCGTATGCTGTGGCTGCCTATGATAGCAAAAGATTGGACTCGATGACCTAGGAAGGTCCCTTTCAATCCTATGTTCTTATATATGCACGGATGTTTCATGGTATAACAAATTTGTATAAAGAAAATCTTGGAAGTTACATTCATATTGCAAAGTGTCCTGCCTTGAAGGCAGTTCTGTTAATGATACTGAAAGACAAAAATGGAAAGGGAGAGGGTTATGTAAAAGATCAGTACTTAGAGAGATTTAAAACAGATAAAATTAACCCCATCTGTGCATGAGGACCCCCTATCATGACATACAAAATAATGCTCCTTTTCTAGTCAATATTTCTTACCTAACAGCCTTAAGAAAACTTCAGTTGGTCAGTTTTTAGCTGACTTCATGACTGATGCAGAAGTTCCGGTTAGATGCATGTCCTCTAATTAGCTCCTTTTTCACTGCTGACACTAGAGACATGAGACTTCCATCCTCCATGGTGGCGTGAACCACCTGTTCACGGGGATGAGGAGATGCTAGCTGCTCTAAAATTCTAAAGTTATGTAAAGGGCAGGAGGGATAGCTCAGTGGTTTGAGCATTGATCTGCTAAACCCAGGGTTATGAGTTCAATTCTTGAGGGGGCCATTTGGGGATTTAGTTGGGGATTGGTCCTGCTTTGAGCAGGGGGTTGGACTAGATGACCTCCTGAGATCCCTTTCAACCCTGATATTCTATGATTCAATGAAAGTTTTGCTAGTTGCACGGAAAGATGGATCCCAGAAAGAGAGTGATTAATCTAAGGGTATATCTACACTGGCAAGTTTCTGCACAACAAGTTATACCACTTTAATAAAAGTGCTGGAATTAAACCGCTGTTGCATGTCCACATGTGCTCCTTGTGACAGTGGAGCGTGTCCACATTAGCAACTCTTTCATCAGCAAAGAGAGCAGTGCATTGTGGTTGCTATCCCACTGTGCGACTGGCCGCAGGGTTCTTTGGGAAAGGTTTGCAGTGCCTCAGGGGCAGGCACAGTGTCACATGATGCAGGTTTCCCAATCCCATTGTTCCATGGGCATCCTACTACATTGCCAGCTGCTTTTCAACTGGAGGGGAGAGTGTGACAGGGAGAGCGAGAAAGAGAGGGTGGGTGGGTGGGGAGAGACAGTGTGTTTTGGAGGTCAGAGAGTATGTCAGCATGCTGTCTTGAAAGTTCAGACAGCGTCAGGAAGCAACCAGTCCTGGGGAAGGGGCAGGGCCGGATTAATCTATTGTGGGCCCAGTGCCAAACATATTTATGGGCCCCCATGGAGGCAATGGTGCATGGCATGGGGAGCTCAGTGCCCAGAGCAAGGGGCCAGGCAGAGGCAATGGGGCATGGCATGGCATGGCACAGGCGGCCCCTCTCCGCCCAGCGCAGTGCGAGGCTACTATTTACAAACCAGCAGTTGCCAGATGCACAGTGGTCCACCCGGCCCTGTGCTGCCAGCATGCCCCTTCCCCTTGGGGGCGGGCTCATGCCGTGCCACACAGCCCCTTTACCCCCCTGCCCAACACCCCCTCCGGACTCCCTATGGCCAGAGCCCTGCCCCACCCCAAAAATGCACAGTGCCATGCACAACACCACTCCTGCCTAGCATCCCCGTTCATAGCCCCACCACAACTGCCCAGCACCCGCCATAGAACCACCACTCTCTAGTGCCCCAACACACATTTTCCCCACGCCCTCAGAGCCCACTTCCCCCCACAAACACCCCCCCCCCCAGAGGCCCACTCTTCCATGTCCTGCCTCCCGGCTGCACTCACCTGATCTGCTGGGAGGCGACTGTGTCTGCTGGGCTGAGATGGCAGCGGAGCCTGGGCTGGTCCCGGGGTGGGGAATCACTCCGGCCCGTCGGGAATGGCACGATCAGCCAGGGCCTGCCCGGCCAGCTCCCTGAAGACGCACTTGCCTGGAGGGGCCCAGCCAAGCCCCCCACGCTGTTCCCCCTGCCCCCACCTGACTGAGACTGGCCGGGCTTCTGCACCAGTCCCAGCCGGCTCAGCTCCAGGGAGACAGGCGGGGACCCACAGGTGGTGGGAAGCAGAGACTGCCTGGAGCTGGAGGTGCATTGGGGTCTGGCCAGGGGGCAGAGAGGAGCAGGGGGGTGGGGCCAGGGGGCAGAGAGG